GTAACATTCCAACATTTAAAAAATAAACTATAAACACTACAATTCAGAGACGGACAAAAATTACTTTCCGATAATAATTAAAGGTCTACGAGTTTTGGATAACTTTTTCTTTGGGTCGTCTAGGCCCAAAAAATTATTGTGTTGGGGACGTCGGTCGGCTGTTGAAAAAGAAATACCTGATATCATACCTTAAAACCTCGAATTGAAGCCCTACACTTTCTTTTCGAGATAGCTGCTTCTTTTCGAGAAAAAAAAAAAAAAAAAAGAGAGGGGTGCATTTTTTAAAAATGAATTCTGTAAATTTTGGGAATTACTTTACTATCATAAAACAATAAATAGGGCCACTTTCAATGTTTAACTAAGTTGCTCAAATTAATGGATGTATCTTTTTTTTTTTTATTGATTTTTCGATTTTTTTTTTGTATTTTTCCGATGTTCAAATATTTCAATCTGTTTATTAATAGTTTAGTCCTCTTTATGATGAATTACTCAAATCTGGCCGTATAAAAATTCACCTGGCCGTAACGTTTGAAAAGTCACGGCCAAACTATATTTAGGCCTAGTCGAATTTGTGAAAAGTTTACATTTTTCCAATAAAGGCCTAGGTCTAACATCATAGACGTGTTTTGGAGATGTTGTTTTTATAGTTTAAATGTATTATATAATGATTGTATCTTGTACATTTGTTCACATTGGACGTGCTTAGTCGTATGTACATCGCACTAAAAACGTAATCTATGTTTCCCCTTTTGCCAAGTTGACGTAACAATTGGAGTTTTTATTTAAAAGATTAGCAGTTACATTTTGTTAGATTGAAATTGATTTTTATTATGAAGTTTATCCTCCTTGAATAATTAGGAAGAATTATGAATGAAAGTTTATTTATATAATTTGTTTTTCTCCAACTTGTTAGTGGTGGTTTCTAATTCTGATCGTTGAGGATTGATACAATAAATTAAATCAAATACAGTAGTTTATGATTAATTTATCATCCCACTTGAGTTGTCGTTAGGCGCTGTGTTCTTTGTTCAATGGTCCGATCGGACCTATAGGCCCTACCTCCAATTTCAAGGAAAGAGAGAGAAACTTATTCGAAGTTTGACTCGATATCTAGCCTATATCATAAAGATGATTCTGATAGCGACATTAATTTATTAATTATTTATAGCTAGGTAAGATCAATAGCAACGCAAATCACAAATAAACAATTCTGAACATATGTTTATAGCAATTAACAGTCAATTAAGAATGTTATGTGCACTTCGTTGAGTTTTACCTACTTGAATGGACTGAAATATACTTTGTTACTTCTTTTTTCCTCTATGATAAAAATATTTAATTTTCTTAGTAAAAATAAAATACCCAAGGATTTGAACGGAATACCCAAGACCAAGTCAAAATACCCAAGATCTTGGGTAAATACCCAAGCAGTGGTCACGCTGGCCAACACTAACACGTAATCGTATGCACTAGACCTATGACATGTCGGGAAGGTGGCACACATTTTAAAATTATAAATAAAAGTATCATGTAAGCCTAGGATACGCTCTTAAAATATTGATTAATTTTTAAAGATATTCATTCCTTTCATACATTTATGGCCACAACTTTTTACCATCTGAATACATTTTCTTGTGTTTGGTATCAAAGTGTAGAATAGTTCATTTCATATCATTTGGTATAAAGGACAATGTAATTACATTTAATTTTGTCACAGGAGGTCAAAGGTCATCAACCAAAGATCAACATCATCGAAGTTCACCCAAAATATATATTAAACTTGTGATAATAGTTTTTCTATCGCATTAAAATTGAATTGACATGGATAAAAGTTAACTGAAGTAAACCATTTATAGATAAACTTGCATCTTATGTTCCATTCACTACATGGCTCTGAAAATATGTGCGTGTCTATGCATTCGCCTTTGGATTTTGATACGATTTAAAAAGCTCTTAATACCTAGCTCTAAATAGCAGTGATAATGAAAACTGGTAATGTACCTTAGAGTGGCTGCTCTATTATTATATATTATTAAATAAATATATTTTCACAATTGTGATACATATGAACTAACAGAGTATGAGTGTCGATTTAATGCATCACGATTGATATGAGGTTGGGGATAACATTTATGCTCACAACTTTTTGGGTCATTCTGTGCCAGATCACCCAATGGTGAACACCCGACCGACTCGGATTTTAATGAAAATTGGGACAAATTATTATTGGCCACGGGAAAGCTTTCAAATATTATGAAAATGGATTATCGGATCAAAAGTTATGAAAAATCAAAAATTACAAGGGTCACCCTACTGTAGGCCTATATAAATCTAGTGTAAAAAAAATAATAAAAAAAATGATATGTGTGATTACACAATGTCCAATGAGAACCTCTTTAGAAACAAGCATAAATGCTTGATATAAAATGTCTAATACATACTCCAAGTATTGAAATACACGACATAAAATGTCTATGTTTATAATTTTGTTTTTCTGACGTATCTATTGTCTCTATCTTTTCAATGTTGAGAATTTCAAAATAAATTCAATCAAATTTCGCCATGCCTCAGTATTATAGGCCTACAGTATAGTAAAGGCTTTCTGAGTGTTCCTGACACATCAAGGACGGAAGTGGTCATTGCTACTATGATTATTGAAATAAAAAAAATTGACTGTACCTATTTTTGTTATGCTACAGTGTGTATTTTACCTGTGAATAGTTCAATGACCAACAATGATGCTCTTCGTTGAGTTTTACCTACTTGAATGGACTGAAATATACTTTGTTACTTCTTTTTTCCTCTATGATAAAAATATTTAATTTTCTTAGTAAAAATAAAATACCCAAGGATTTGAACGGAATACCCAAGACCAAGTCAAAATACCCAAGATCTTGGGTAAATACCCAAGCAGTGGTCACTATAATAAATTCATGGTGATCGTATAGGCAAATTAATATGTAACATCACTGACAATTACATAATAATTCTAAAATCTAAAGTGTAATGTGTCCTAGTATCAAATTTAATTTCTTTTCTCTTACTTAGGTTTAGTTTTAAATATAATGATGTGTCAGTTCCACAAAGATATCCTTAGATAACGGTATCATCTGCATATTTGATTATTGGTGTGTTTTCAGAAGCACTGTGTAAACAGCTCAGGTGACAGAACACATCCTTGGGGCACTCCTGAGTTACAAGTCTTGTGTCCGATTTGCTATGCCCTATGCAGACATACTGAGGGCGTCGTTGAAGAAAATCCATAATCAGTAGCGAAAACATTGGATCTATCGTTAAACCTTGAAGTTGCTGACTAGATAGTGATGCTGCACTCAATTGAAAGCGCTTGAGATGTCCACGAAAAGCGACCTCACAAGTGTGTTCCGTGTGTCTAGATGTTGAAGAATGACAGCTATATTCAGTTGACGAAAAGTTGTGGGCATAAATGTAACCCCCCCTCCCTCCCATCAAAGTTAATGCATTAAATTGACAAGTCTATACTCCTTTAGTTATTATTTACTAGTTCAAAATTTGTGAAAATATAAATATTTCATTTATAATAGACCAGTCACCCCTAAGCTACATTGTTTTTAGCATCATAACGGCTACCTAAAGCTAGTTATGAGCTTTTTAATTCATATCAAAATCCCATGGTAAATACAGAATACAGACACACCCATATTTTCGGGGCCATAACTTTGTCGTGTTTGGAGCTAAGATGTTTCAATTTTATCTACAGTATGTAGTTTAATATATATTTTAATACAACTAACTTTTATCTATGTTATTTAGTTTTAACGGTATAATAAAACTATTATTATTAGAGTTTTGATAACCATGTAATTACATTTTTCTTTACCAAATGATAGTAATGTATTATTCTACACTTCGGTACTGAAAACAGGATAATATATTCATTTTCGATAAAAAGTTGTGAGCATAAATGTTACCCCCTACTCCATATCAATACATGCAATAAATTGACACGCCGTTAGGTCATATTTACTAGTTGATTAAGTATCACAATTTTGAAAATATAAATATTTCAAAACATATATTAATAGACAGGTCTGTCCAAAAATTACTTCCCCCTCCCCATCTCCCCTTCCAGGAAAAAATCATGGAAATTAGTTAAAAATCACCTTATTTTGCAAATTAGCGCCCCCTTAAGTGATCATCAAGCCCCTACTTCACCTTCGCGCCCCCATCAGCACCCCTTTTTCAAGACTTCCAGATACGCCACTGCTTCTAAGGTACATCACTAGTTTTCAGCATCATAGCTGCTATTTATTTGCTAGTTGGGAGCTTTTTGATTTGTATCAAAATCCAATGGTGAATGCATAATATAGACACACCCACATATTTTTGGAGCAATAACTCTGTAGTGATGGAAGCTACATGTAAGATGTCCCAATTTAATCTATACTGCATATGTATTTTTATATTCTGTTTACTTTACTTCTATTAAAAGTTTCATAAATATTATCCCCACCCCATATAAATCCCGGTATTGAACCAAAAAAGATACCCATCTTTGATGTTGGTTTACATGCACTGACAACCAAAAATCGCTTGATTAACAAGGTGTTTTTGAAGCTTATACATAGGAAACTAGAAAAAATAATTTCAGTTATAAAGCAGGGGGTGCATGGGCGGTGTTCGTAGCCCCTGGACTATAAGTTGGGGCCGATTTGACCTCCTTCTAGATAGGCTTGCCCCAGGTCAAGGTTTGGATGTTCCGCTGCGAGGTATACCTAAGGCCGACTCATGGGCCCAGGGCCTTCCTAACGTCAGTCATGTTATCTTTTGCACTAGACTTATGGCATAATAATAATAAAATAATGTTTTTATTGGCTATAGACAGTTATTATTCTAGAAATACAATTTCCATTTAATGTTTTTAATCAAAAGTAACGGACATTTAAATATTAATGTTGCATTCCTTCTAATTCTGGTTTTTTTTTTTTTTTTTTTTTATGAATGTATATATTTTATTTCAGTGAATTATTCTGTCTAAAATAAAGTCTAATCATTGCAAAACGCACTTCTAAAGATCTCCGTAAACCAGTGGACCAGTGGCTATAATGTTGCTTCCTCATTTTGTGATCAATAATTTTTGCTGAATGGTGAGTCAAAAATTTGTTTTTATTATAAATTTCATATCCATTGTAAAATGCTTTGTGGGATAATGTTTGACCGTACTGAGAATAAACATTTTATTATCAATAATACAACATAAAAGATGTTATACTCCCTAATTATTTTTTTTTAAATAAATTTTAAAAGTTGTCATAAAATAAGGTTTTAATTGAAACTTAATATACTGTAATTAAACAGGGTAATAAAATGGGAGAGATCAAAATAATAAAATTATTGCATTCATGTCATTAAGTATGGTAAAACAATGAACAAAGGTATATAAATTAGTATTAAATTCTACCCCTGTTAATAATTAATTGTAACTTATGTTAAATTTAATACAGTACTAATATATAATTTAGGCTGTACCAGCTCAGTATGGGCAACAATCGTACAGAGGTCAGTTAAACCATGTGTTTTTATTTATTGTAATCAAATCAGTAATTATATTGATCATAACTCAAGACATCAATTAAACCTTAGTGTAATATATTAATTAGGTAATAACTGAATAAAGAATTTAAAATTAATTATAACTTCATTTATACAGATGTGATATTAATGTTATCAATACACAAATTAGAAAATGCTTTTTATATTTTTCTCTACCAATGGGCATTTTTATATATCTCTAAAATGTTACCAGTTTTATAAGGTATTAGATATATATATATATATATTTATTTGGTAACCCATTTCAATTTTACAATTTAAATTAATTATAAAATTTCAAAATAATTATTAATACATTAATGTAGTATAAACAATAATGTAAACCACCCCAATGACAATCTTACTACCTATTTTCAACATTGTTTTGCAATGGACTTACTAATTGCTGTATTCATTTTTATTGATCTTTGTACTTTATTTTCTCTGCAGTGGACTTAAAAATAATGTATACAATGTATACTTTACTTATGTTTTCCTTTTACTTTAATATTTCAGTGAACCAGTGGTCTCATCCTGCTTTGCGATTATGTTGGTTTTGAGATTAGCTTTCTAGATAATTGCATGATTTTAATATTTGAAATAAATATCCATTGTTTTTCATTAGTATTGAAATATTCAGTATTCCATTATTTAGTATCGAAAAAAAAATATTCATTGTATAATAAATACTGTACTGAAAATATTCATTGTATTCAAAGTTGTCTTCTTGTGTATTGGGGCAGTATGGTAAAAAAAAAAAAACGCCCTCTAATAGAAAAAGGCCCAGTATATGACTAAGTTTTTTGGCCAATTTAGTCTGTGGAGTTCTGGTAAAAATGGTGAAAAAATGCCCCTCAAATATCCTTTTTCCCCTAAGTTCTTTAGGGTCTCTTAATAATTGTCAATGGTAGAGAAATGCACAATCTAAAATCCAAGTTTTTCAGATTTCAATTGTGGGACACTGAAAAACTGGCTATTAGAGGGCGCATTTTACCATCCTTGTAATAGAAATTGACAATTAAGGAGACCCTGAAAAACGTAGAAATAAAATGACTATAGAGGGCCTTTTCCAGCACCACAGGGAACCCCCTTTAAACAGAAACAGAGACCCTGGAAATTTTGTTTTTCTATTAGAGGGCACTCTTCAGCACCACTATAATACGAATTGAGGGAAAATGGAAAACTTAGTCCTTTTTCTTTTAGAGGGCGCTTCTTTCTTGCCTGCTAATCCAGTCTTCAGAAACACGACCAGCAAAGAAACACATCAACACATTATTTATATTTTTAAATATAAAACCAGAATCGTAATATAATGTGAATTTATATAATTATATGAAAAACTAATTATAGGAAATTGTTTCTCTTGGTTCAATATTTTACAATGATTCAAGTTCTCTTGATGCTGCAATAATTTGTCATTAAAAATGATTTGTTAATCCTTCGATATTCTGATGAAAATACAACCACTGTATGTTTTCTTTCACAGTATTCGGCAAGATGTTGAACTAAACTCCAATATATCGTCTCTTCATTGTCTTGCAAACTAAAAAAAAAAATGCTTTACTCGGCCTTTCTTAGAAAAAAAAAATGAATTACAGTAGTTATGGTTACTCTTCCTCGTCTTACTGTAATATATCTTCCGTACAATATGGTCAATATTTCAGAATGATGCAAGTTGTCTTGATCCAGTAACTTGTTATTAAAGATACAATAATGGTTTGTGTTGTTTCACCGGGATTACACTTTCGAAATCTTCAAGATGTTCCAACTAAATTTCAGTGTACTTTCCTTCTGCTGCTGCATCTGCCAAAAAAATAAAAACATTTAATAAAGAGTGAGAAAAAGGAGGAATGCAGAAACAGACTAATGAATTATAATTTCATAAGGAAACTTAATACTTACAGTGCCATAGATTCTTTGATACATACATCTTGCAGTAGAGATTTGTCTGTACTCTGCAAACAAACAAATTAAAGATCACTGTATGCATTATACATGGTTTTGAATTTAAAAAGGAATGAAATAAGACCAGAATGATACATAAGTAAAGAAAAGAATAGAAAACCAAAATGAATATAAGAATGCAAACTGAATAACGGCCAAATAAATTAATTGTAGAGATCAAATGAAAACAGGCTAAGGTGATGAACGAACACGAGGATAATAATAGATAAGTAAGAAGTGAAAATGAGGATAAAATGTTGGAAAATATGGCCCCAATATACAGATGAGCAAGAGAAGAAAATAACAAAATAAGAACAGGAAAGATGAGGAGAATGAGGAATGATAAAACGAGACAAAGACAATAAAGTTGATGTAATTTCAGATAGACAATATAGCTAGACTAGAAGGATGTATCTATTTAATATTATATACCTCCTTGGTTTCATACAAGATGCAAAATTCTTTTATGTCACTTGTACATAAATACAAGTAAAATTGTCTTCCCGATGCAAAAAAGTAGTCCTTGACCTAAAACTGTTTCATTAGATTTTAAAAATCCATGAAAATCAACTTGATTTTTGTTGTTTCCCTACACTAATGTGTTTCAAAATTCATACCAATGACAAAGCCATGGTGTTAAATATATAACAGTGGCAGCTACCAAGCTTAAGGTCATGAATTTTTTTTACTGCATTAGGTACAAATGCACTATTAAATTTGAATTTGAGGGCTAGCATTAATTTGTTTGAAAACATACGAAGTACAGCTAACCAGAACCGCGAACATACAGTACACGCTTTAAATTTAATATCTATTTATTACCGTTAATTTATCGTATCTAGTATAAAGGTTTTAAGTCCTGCCAGTAACGAAATGTTATATAGTGGCGTATAAAGGCTAACCAGAGAAAAAGATGTTTCAGCAGATTTTCTAAAGATAAAGTTACACCGCTTTACAAGTCAATAATAAGACCAATCTTAGAATATGGATCGATTGTTTAAAAACCAACAACAAAATAAGATGCAAATCGTTTAGAAAAGGTACAGAGTAGGTGCTTACGGCTTTGTTCTTAGGTGAAACTATCGCTTATGACTGACATGATTTAAACATACCGATATATCACTAGATATAAACTATAAGGCACCAAATGTAATTTCATTATTTATCAAAATTATATACATATAATTCATTATTTATTTATTTTTATTATTTATATTTTATACGGAGGCTCCGAGGAGCCTCAAAACATTGCTACAATTTATCTGCAGCTTGGCATTGTAAAAGTTCACAATGAGGAAATTAAATAAAGTATAATAATATGATAATCAACATCAGAAGACAATATATATATATATATATATATATATATATATATACAAACATACT